AGAGCACACCTCGCTTTTTCAGACCGATGAGCTTTGTAAAAATCGACGCGTTTCAGAAAGGCGGGGCATAGAGGAGAAACAATAATGTACACTATGTGGAAAATAATGTGTTTTTTGAACCTTAAACCACATAAACACATTTCATTACACCAAATACACCAAATAATGTTCTTTTTAGCAACATCTTATGACCCCTTTAAATGTGGTTACTTACAATGTGGTAATTAAAAGGATTTTACTGCAGTATTTTTACATTTATGCTTGGTGTAAATGACTGACTTCCAAGACACTGGCAAAATAAGGTCTTAGCTGTAAAGCAATAGCATAATTGCTGTCTACCTCTTGGAGAACAAATAAGATTTTGTGAGTGTACAGTGAAACTAATACTCCAGGTTATGACGGGCAAGCTTACACTATTGTATAACGTATGACATCCTCCATGCTTTCGAATGTTACGGTTGCCACAACAAAAGGTGCAGACACAGAGACAGGCCCACCTCGACACACACAGGAAACATTTCAACAATGTTTTATTGCCACAGACTGCTGTATGCTGGTTTTTATGTTGATGTGAACTCATAGGATCATAAATTATAAATATCTACCTGTTCTCCCTGCAAACTTCAGTATATTTGATTGAACATAGTGAAATCCTTTCTGATCTTTACAGTAGCAAACACTTGGGTAACAAACACTGACGAATCAATAAAAATTTCATTAAGGAATACAATTTTTAGGTGAGGTCACACAACCTGTCTCTGAGTCATTGTTCTGAAACAGTAGTGTTATAGATGTTTGTTTGTTTGTTTGTGTGTGTGTGCGTGTGTGTGTGTGTAAGCTGTGTGAACTGAGCTGGTGTTGTCCTTTCACATTCTCTGTCTCAGATAGACAGGACATAATCTGTGCCATGGTCAAAGCCCTCTATTAGTTTACTATTAATAGGGCCTTAACTATTTGTTCACAAGGCTGACAGTGGACTGCTAAAAATCCCTGGGAAAGTAAATGCCTGTGACTCCCGTTTCGAACAGCTGGTTTCATTAGACAGACTGTCAGCTGTTGGCTACTCCTAGACTTGATCATTAGAGTCTACAGTTTAATTTATAAACATTATGTCATACTATAGGCTGCACAATTAATCAGAATAAAACTGAAATGGCTACATGACTATTACAATATATATATATATATATATATATATAT